AGTGGGTGTTGTCCACAGCTCACTGCTATGAGTCCTAAGTGACCCCATTCACATGTTTTACAATAAGATCAGCTTAGCCTCTAAGCTCACCTTAGCATAATCATTAAATATAGCAAAATTTTTTGTGTGATCCCTTAATATTTTCCTGTATCTCTGACGCTGTCATATCTCACTAAGAAACTCAGTGATCTCAACCCACTGGCAGATGCAGATCCATCTCCATCAATCCTCTTCCTATCTCACTGCTTATAGACGTTATTTAGTTCTCATTTCTGTACCTTATTATTCTAAGGAACTTTCTATACTATTCTGGGTCATGCCTAGGCACTAGCAGGGCCACAAGTCCAGGAAATTCTGTAACCTGCTCTGTGTGTGGTAGCACATAATCCTAATGCAAGTGTGCATTGCCTGCATAAGAGAAAGCTTAAGAAAGATGGGGTATATTTATGCTCATGTCTGGAAGACTGGGAAACGGTATAAAACTCAAGTTAGATTCATAAGAAACTTTGAATCCTTTAATCCAGCTGACTCCAAAGTTAATTAATCCAGATTCGTCTGGAAGAACACAACATCCATGCCATTGGAGGTAGTGAGCAATCCATTGGTGCAGCTAGGATCATCTGTCATTATAAATACAATGAAAATACCAATGATAATGACATTATTCTGATTAAACTGCAGTCTCCTTCCACTATCAGTTCTCCAGTGGGCACTATCGCTCTGCCAAGATTCCATCCAACTGATACTCAGTGACTGGAGCAACACCTTGAGTAATGACAGTAAGTGTCTCCTTCAATGCAAAGATCAAGTCTGAGAATGCTACAGGTGAAAGGCACTTTGAGGGTCGGTTGGTATAACTTCTTACCCAAGTCAAGGCTCCAGAGTCTGGCTTCAGATATAAGCAGTCCTAGAATACACTAATGAAAGTGAGAAAGATTCCTTTTAAGAGACAACACTGAAGACACAACAAAAATATATTAAAATAATGTCAGTGTGTTTTACTAGAGTGTAGTGAACCAGAAGTATAATGTGCAGAGAACTAGAAACAGGAGAAAGAGAGCAAAGAAAAAGTAAAGGGACTCAATAATACCTAAAGTTTATACTTCCATATATATATATATATTTCAGGAGAACCAAGCTCCAGGGTGATCACTGGTGTCAAAACAACCAATTCTGTGAACCAGGAATATATTGGAGGCTTTTTCCCCCCTTGATACAGCACTCAGGAATCATTTCTCACTACAGAGGTGAAAACTGTAATAGCAATAAGCACCACTTGTGACGTCTTTTGTATGTGCTACATACCATGTTTAAGAATTGTAAATAATATTTTAACTTCAAAGCTACTCTATGAAGATATGTCCTAATATTCTTTCTGTCTTGTAGCTTAATACACTGACATTCAAGGAGTTTAATGTCTTTCTCAGGAGAAGGCAGTTAGCAAGTCCATTGGAACTGAACCTTATTGACTCAGTTTGACTCCAAAGCCAGTGATTCTACCATTATGTGAATGCACATGAAAAAGTTAGACAGACATTATAACACTATTTGGATGTTTAAATAAAATGAAACTCCTGAAGTCCTGGAAAATATGAGACTCCTAAAATCACAAATTATTTTAGTTCATCAGCATTTACAGAACATTTAATATTTTATAGGCAATACTCAAAAATCTATGTGATGGATACCCACTTTACAGAAAAGGAAACTGAGAAACACAGAGCTTAATAAGCTTACCCAGGATCATAAGGCTACAAAATGTGAACACCACAGACAGATCCAGACAATCAAGCTTCAGAGGCCATCAAGAGAAATACGGACCTCATGGGGTTAGTGCTTCACACTTTACTTTTCTGCCCTAGATTGTAACATTTTCTCTTAAAAAAAACCACACAAGAACATTGTTGAATTATGACTGTATTACATTCCAAAAGGTGGAAAAATTTACACCCCTCTCCAGATGACCTTGAATCCTTCCCCCATCTTTACCATTTCCCAGAGTGAGGCTCCAACATGGAATTAAAGAAAACCAGGTGACAGAGAAAGGTGGGTACTAGAGATAGATTCTGTATTTTAAGTAACCAAACTGCTTTTGGCCTCCTCTGGGTGGAGAGGGACACTTTACAGTGGACCCCTTAAACAATCAGGCAGAATCACTTCCCATAAGAAAACTCCCTTCGCCCTCCTCCATTAAAACATGGAGTATAACTAGAAATGGTTTGTCATCTGCTCTGATTACTGTATAACAAACCATCCCAAACTTGGAGTAATGTAATACGCATCATTTATTATCTCTCACTGTTCTTGGGTTTGACTGAGTTCCATGGGGAATCCTTTCTTGATGTCTGACATGATTTATAGTCAGTTAGTGGCCAGGTTTGGAGTCACTGCTGCCTGTGGGCAGGGACTTCAGCATGATGGTTTGGCTTCTCCATGTGCCACCATGAGGGACAGCTGGCTTCTAAGGATTTGTGCCTCAGAAGAAGGCAGCCACAAGGAAATTGTACTGAATTTTAGGAAATGTGCTCAAAAACTATGTCAGTCCATATTCAAGAGAACAAAAATTAGACTTTACCTTCCTTATAAAGGGGTGTTAGAGAATATAAAAATACACTTTTTTTTTTTTGGTACCGGGGTCAAACTCGGGTCCTTATGAGGCAGGCAGTGGAACCACTGAGCTAAATTCCCAGCCCCCTAAAAATACACTTTTTAAAGCTACCAGAGGAAAAAAACCTCCTAGAAACAGCATTGGGCTGGATGAGGTCATAATTGGGTGACATTTAGTGATATATAGCAGAAGGAATTATATAAGGTGTGATGATGACATGCCTCACAGCCCTTAAAAAATATGAAACCTCTCAGATGGGCATGGTGGCCCACACATGTAGCTTGGGAAGCTAAGGCATCAGGGTCACAAGTTCAACCCAGACTGAGGAATTTAGCCACTTAGTGAGACCCCCATCTCAAAAAAAAAAACCCAAAGCCAAACTTCAAGGCTCACTTCCCTTTCTTGGCAGAAAGAGCTCCTGAGAGTATCTGCCCCACCTTACTTTAGCATCTGGTACCACTTTGTCACAGCAGGCACGTGCAGTGCCTTGGCACCCAGTGTTAGGTAGTAGAGACTTTGCAGGAATTTAATTCCCAGTATGCACCCCCTACAGAAAACAAAAAGAATTGTACTCTCTCACTTCTCCAAAAAGTGAATAATTATTCCCTGGTCTAATTTTTTCTATGTTAGAAGACATTGATATTTTAAAGGAGAGGGCACTAGATGCTTCATAGTCTTCTTAATGAGTTTTTGGGGTAGGGATGGAATAATATGAATACTTAATGCAAAATATTAACAAAAGTGGTCAGTTTTCCTCTGCGACTTAAAAATATAGAAATTTCTCTCTCTTTGGAAGGTTCCTGAGAAGAGGGAAAAAGGTGGGGGGACAAGAAAAAAAGGCGTGGGAGGATCCCAGGCAATGCAGTATAACCGGGAACCGGCCTATGGCAGGACACCTGACGTCCTGAGGATGATTATAACTTTTGCAAAGTGATTTCTGATGCTCTAAGGATATTTTCAGATCTGAGTCACAATTTCTATGAATATATCCAAATCTTTATTGAAATTCTGAAAATCCTCTAGGATTAGTTTAATGGTGAATTGAGAGGTGAAACAGGCAGCTGTCTTCACATACTGCCTAGAAATAAGGAAAGAACCCACCAGAAATAAGTTCCAGTCCTACCAGATAAACTTTTGGAAAGAGTGGAGGTAGCCAACTTCCTCAAATGTCATGGACTGAAGGTTTAAACTGTGTGATTGTGGTCCTGGGATTTAGCTCAGTGGTTCCACTGCCTGCCTTGCAAGTGCAACGTCCTCAGTTTGATCCCCAGTACCAAAAACAAATAAAAAATAAATTATGTGATTGTGAACGAGCTTATAAAGCTTTAGTTTCTTATTTGCAAAAAATGGATAACTAATATTTAATCTGTGAGCCTAATGAATGATAAATCTGTTCACATGTATGAGGCATATGACATCTGATGAAAACTAAATAAATACTATTATTTATTATTAATATTATTTTAAGGTTTTGCAAGCTAAAGAAGTGGAATCTTCTAAAGATCAGAGCATTCGAAAGAATAATTAAATTTTGTAAGAAGTGAGTTCACATGTGACTTTTAGATATAGGAAAACTATTTTATGGTCTCTCATACCTGATCAGTTCATTAATTATTCTAACAAAGGCCAATTTAGGGCTATATGTTTTGCCTTTGTTCAATCTCTATAAAAGGTGAGGTTGAACCTTCTATTCCTGAACTCTGAGGGACAGGCAGGAAATTACCTTGTAAGGTTATCCTACAGAATGGAGTGTAGTGCATTTATAGAGAGCAATAGGTGGAAAGAGATGGTTTTGTTCAGTTCTGATAGGACAGTGAATGTCTCCAAGCTGAAGATCTGAGTGTTAACTGCTTGATCTAAGCTCATAATTCATGAAACAAAACAAAACAAAAAAGTTGGAAGGTTTGTGTCTGGTCTTGTCAGTAGGTGCAAGCAAAAGGGGAAAGGTCTGGTTTGACTGGTCAAAGGTACACAAGGGAGGAATCCAAAATCTTACAGGAGTGTTGTGAAAGAGTACATGGAAAGTCAGGTCCAGCTTTTGTGCAAAGAGTGGCTCTTTGTGGCTATTAATTTCCCAAGAAACAAATGGAGAGAGGTGTTAGCCTCTGCTGTTTGCTGGGAGTGCAAACCTCAGCCTTACGGGGAAATCTCTGAGCCCTGACTTTGCCACAATCTGCCATTCAAACGACAAACTCCTCATAGAATGAAGGAAAAAGTGAAAAAAATACACATTTCTTAAATGTATTTTATATCTCAGTATTCTGTGAGTCTCTGGACATAGCACAGACTCTGGAGAGAGTAGGTTGGCAGAGGACAGAGATTTAAAGTCACAAAGGAAGGAGGGGACAACAAAGAAAAACTACATCATAGATAAGAGGTGAGCAGTCATTAGATACATAATTGTGCCTGGGGAGGATTTGTGGGTCAGAGCAGAGGAACGGGGCCCTGACTAGGCCTGTTCCTTCGTCTCTGTTACCCCCGTGAAAGTTGGCACCCAGTGAGATTTTATACAATCTAGGCTTGATAAGGACTAATTTGAAGAAACTGTCAGAGCCTTCATTCTCTTCTCACTCCGCAACAGTCCTCTCCCCGCCCTTCCGCTGCTACTGTCACGGACCCTGGACTCCATACTGGGACCCTTTACAGCTTGAACCTGTCTGCTCCACGGAGATCACAGCCAGCCATGAAGTGCCGTTTCATCTTCATTTTCATGATTGCCGCTGGTGAGAGTTTGAGGCCTGATTTCTGGCTAGGGTGAGACCCAGGGACGGATATCAGGGGTTGGGAAGAGAAGTAGCCAGTGGCAACCAAAGTTACAGGAAGTGGTTGGGGTGGGGTTTTTTTTCCTCTCTCTCGCTCATTGAGTTTATTGGTACATTTTAGGTATACAGTACAGTTACATTCACTATTAGGATCCTGTACCTTTACACTTGGTTCTCATTTTTTCCCCTTACTCCTGCCCTCGGGCATGGGGCATTTTAACAAAGTACCTCACTGTGGAAAGGAGCTGCCCTTCATGCATATCTCATCCTGTCCCTGTGCTCTCCGAACCTCTGACCTGAGCCCCGAGTATATGACTTCCTAGACTTCTTTTCTTCTGTACAGCACCTCCTCTTTCCCTGGACTGATAGTTATTGGAGGAGTGGGCCCAGAAAGGGACTGAAGGCTGCTCAAGGCCTTGGAAGCCCCAGCATTTCCCATTTTTTAAATTTTTTACTACCAGCAGTATTTCGTCTTTTCCCCCTCATTCTTGGTAAAAGTTACTTTAAAAAAAATACACTTAAAGTACCAACTTATTTTTTTCATTTATGTAATACATAGTAGTACAAATCCATGCTTCTGATTAACATGAGATGAGAGTACTGGTTTGTCACAGGACCTGAATAAAATAATTCCATCTCAAGCAAAAATACGTGTTTGTTTCTTAAAATTTTTTGCCTTGAATAGTATGCGAGATTATCTCTTATTTTTAAAGACATTAAACACAGAGACAATACTATCTTTGGAAACCTCCAGTTAGAGAAAACTATACTAGCCAGTTGTAGCTGCCTTAACTTCTTTTTCTTTCTACCTATGACCGCTTTATTCTCCAGGTGTTGCTCTGGAAAGTTCTCTTGAAAAGATGAAAACACTAGAAGAGTTCACCATTCCTTACCTGGTCTATCTGGAGGCCAACCCAGAGCCCTGTGTGGGATCGCTAATTCACCCCAAGTGGGTCTTGACAGCTGCTCACTGCTCCTTACCGTAAGTAGCCCTCTGTTCCTGGGAGCTGAGAGGGATCTATTCAAGTGGAAGTGAGTGTGGTGAAACATCCCAGGCAGGTTTCAGTAAAATTAGAAGACCTGGGAACATAGAAGCTCTTTTTCCCATTGGGGGAAAAAAAAAAACAATAGAATACATATTTTGATGGTTTAACTGGAGATCAATAGGAGATGTCAGAAGTCTTCAATGGAAAGTAAATGCTATTCATTTATCAATGATCAAACATTTACTATACAGCTAGTTTAGTGCACTGAGACACCAGTGAGCATGTCAAATGGAAATGTTTTCCCTCATGGAGCTTCCATTTTGGTAGAGGGAGTACTCCCTAAATAAACACATAGCCCAAAATAAAGCATAAAACAGATAGGGGATAGTAATGTATGGGAACAATATATAGGGTTACTTTCTAGGCCTCTCTGAAGATGTGAAACCAACAGGAAAAGAAGAAGGGAGTAAAAAGAATAAAGCCTGGGGATATTCTAGGCCCCAGGAAAAATATTCATGTAGCCTCTGACACAGCAAAGATATTAAGGTATTTGGCAAACAGGAATCACTGTTGTTTGAGAGTAATGAGGAGAGAGCATATTCATAGGATGGAATTAAAGAGTTTTACAGAGGCCGCATCATGTGGATCACAGGAGAACAGGCTCATTGTACAACCTAATGTATCTGTGCACATCTCAGCACTGCTATCAGGGGTTAGAAATTGTGTGAGGGAGGCCTGCTCTAGTTCCAGGAGTACACAGGGCCATTTCAAACTCACGGTTCTTGGCCATCTGGTTGTGAAAGGCAGTGTAGTCCAACACAGGTCGAACGCTTGCTCTATGTGGGGAAGGACACACAGGAAATAAAATCAATTCGCACTCTCCTATAATTGGAGCTGGAAAGTAGGTATTCTTTCCATCATACCTATGTAACGCCTGAACTCCATTGTACAGGATGTGGCCTTAGGGTCTGTCACATGGTGGGACTCCTGGGGATGGAGATGGGCAAGTCTGGATTTACCTGGGGAATGTAAGGGAAAAGGGCAACTGGGAGTCATGACAAACATAACAGCGTTTTGTAAGTCTGTGATCAGTGTGAACAACACGTGGACAGTAGAGTCATATGGGCCTGAGAGGGATAATGTAATGCAGCTATCCTGGGAATTCTTGTTTTACAGACAAAATTAGGTTGCTTTGGCTTTCAGGTTAATAAATAAGATTAAGATGATCAGAAAAAATGATTTCTGACATTTCTTGAAGTATGGCATTTTGTGACTCCATCCTTTTACCATTATTGCTTTCTTTTTCCAAAGTAAAAAAATCCGCCTGGGAGTTTATCAACCCAGCACCAAAAATACGAACGAGCAGTTGCAGAATTACTCATTGACTGTGACTCACCCTGAATTTGATGGAAAATCCCTGAAAAATGACCTTATGTTGATAAAACTCTCCAAGAGTGCTGATTTTGGCCTTCATGTGGGAACTATAGCCATAGCTATTGAACCTGTGTCACTTACTGACTCCTGCTTTATCCCAAGCTGGACCTGGAATAACTATAAAAATCGTAAGTGTTTGACTACTCTGTGTTCTTCACCCTGGGAAGTCTGGAGCTACAGAGAGAATGTGGTGACATGTACTTTACAGAAAGATGAGCTGTGAAGTGATGTTCTTCTATGAGGTGATGATTCTAGAGGGAAAACATTCAAATCAAACCTGCTGATGTAGGGCCGGGGATTTAGCTCAGTGGTTAAGTGGCCTGCCTTGCAAGCACAAGGACCAGAGTTCAATCCCCAGTACCAAAAAAAAACAAAAACAAAAAAAACTGCTGATGTAGGACAACGAATCTGACAGTAACAAATAGAACAAGCAGCACTTATTGCATACTGAATATTCAAGACCAAGTTCAAGAGAATTGAATTTTGAAATAAAGATAGAAAAACTAGGACTCTTCACTCACAAAGGCAGTATTAAGAAAGTGAGAGCTGCTGAAAGCCCTCCATGCCTTCCATGCACTCTCTTAGGAGAGCAGAGGAGCAATAAAAAGAAAAAAGAAAAAGAAAGCCTATGTGCTAAAACATGGCAACTCATTCTTTCCAATGTGTGCTGAGAGATAAGAAGATGGTTGAGGAAGCCACTTGTACTATCAGCAGAGCTAGTTTCTCCAGAGAGTCCTACTGTTGTATCTACTGCTGCTGTAACTGAGAGTTCCCTATTAGAAATGGAGATTTGAGTGGTTGAAAAAAGTTTGATTATTCTGACAAAGTTTGATTATTCGTGACTCTGGACAGACACATTTCAGGGAAAAATTAGTCACATCTCATGTGGTAAACATACATCCTTCTTTGTGTGCCCAAACTAGGATAAACAGAGTGACCCGATGTCTGCCAGTAGGTGTCTTCTCAAAGAGCCTATGTGAAAATTTGTGTTGCTATGTATTTGTTGATCCCCATTTTCTCTTACTTAAGTGATTGCTAGTGATAAATTATGATCTCTTTAGCTATTGCAAATACCTGTTTAATTGACTTAAACTCTGCTTCTAGTGAATACAGAATGATTTATCTGATCTGTAAAAATGAAATATGCTGTAAAAATAGAAATGAAAAGTATGTGTGTACCGAAGGTGTAGCTTAGTGGTAGAAAACCTTACTATGTGTAAGGCTGGTGTAAGATTCTGCGTTAGGTCCTAAGCACAAGGAAGGAAGGAAGGCAGGGAGAGAAGGAAGGAAGAAAAAAGGAGGAGAGAGGAGAGGGGAGGAGAAGAGAAAGGAAAGAAAGAAAAGAAAGCAGGGAGGAAGAAAGGAAGAGAGGAAGAAAGGGAAAGAAGGAATTTTCATATTCTCAGTATTTTGTAAATCCATATTTCAGCTTAGATAAAAAGTACTGCACCTGGGAATCTAAGGGAATGTATTTGATGAATAAATTGTACCTTGTATGATTTTTGTATTTAACTTTGTCTTATTCAAAGTATTTCCATCATATTTTGCAAATACACTTCATTGCTTATCATTTGGAAATAAAGCTATATGAAGGTTTTGTCATGTAGGCTCTGACTAGAACAACAACACCAGATTATACCTTTGTAAGATTTCCTGTACAGGGTTTCCAACTTAGGTCAGAAATTCCTTTTTTACAGTAATCTAAACTACTTTCACCTAGTTTCTTAAATATTTTTAATTTAGTTCTCACAAGAATGGAAAATTAAACATGACTTCTCTCTCTCTTTTCTGACCTGAGGTTTTCTAATCTACTTTACTTAGGGGGGTTTTATTATATCAGAAAATTTATGTTCCTAATTACCACTTGGCTAAGCTCGATCCATTTCTGTTCAATTCTTCGTTTCCTTGTTCTTTGCTACTCTCTACCAAGAGCTAAAATTATATAATTTCTTGGTAACATTCCCTGGGTTCTCATTTTGAAGTTGACAATATAATAGCAATTGCTGTGTTGCAGAGATGGAGATTAACAATATGACCTCTTAGGGAATATACACACACACACACACACACACACACACACACACACACACACACACATATATATACATACACACAATATACATATATATACATATATACACACATATATATATTTTTTTTCAAAATGACCCATTTACTATCATGCTCCACACAATGATGTTTCAGTCAATGATGTCAATGATATATGACAATGATTTTATATATATATATATACACACAATATACATATATATACATATATACACACATATATATATTTTTTTTTCAAAATGACCCATTTACTATCATGCTCCACATTATGATGTTTCAGTCAATGATGTCAATGATATATGACAATGATTTTATAATATTATAATGAGCTAAAATTTTCCTATTGTCTAGTATTTTCCCATACCTTTTCAGTTTACAGATATCTTTATATAGACAAGTACTTAAAGCAATGCTACATTATTCATTACAGTAGCATGCTATACAGGTTGGTAGCATAGGAACAATACACTGAGTCTTATAGCCTAGGTATATATGGGCTGCACCATTTAGATTGGGTAATAACCTCTCTGATGTTTACACTGCAACAAAATAACCTAATGATGCATTTCCTAGAGCAGAAATCCAACATGGACACATGACTGTAATTTTAAAAATAGTTTTACATGCAGTAAAAATTTTCTTTCTTTATGATAAAGTATAAAGATAAAGTAGATGCAAACCGGAGATTTTAGAGAACAGTGGCTTTATTACTGTCTCCATCTTCTCATGGAAACTCATAATGTTCATACAGGTACTTCTAATCTTCATAAATTATGCATGGTAGACAAAGAACTATAGATCTAGTGATTTTAAACTAGATACACTAACAAGGACTGCATAACTATTGTGAACTGCATTGAATATTCTCAGAGGTGAACTTATTTATGAAATAGAGGCTGACCACAAAGGAATTGTGATAACTTTGAAGTTTGTCTTCTCTTACCCATAGTCACTGACCCAGATATCCTGACATGGATAAACCAACACTTCCTTTCCTCCCAAAAGTGCCTGAATATGCTCCAGAGACAAGAGCAAAGAACCTCAGTGAACATCTTGTGTGTAGGAAAACCTCTAATTGTCCTATCTAACATTAAGGTATCTTTTCTTCCTCCATAGAAGAGTATAGCTTGGGGTCCACTGGGAGGGAGAGATGATGATGAGAAATCAAAGGGTCCCCTCCACAGTGTAAGGGATAGAGGGCTGAAGTGCCTCTCCCCAACCTGCTCAGTCTCTAGAGTCATTTCCTTCCCCTCTTTCCATCTAAGGGTAGGAAAGATCTGGGGTAGACCATTTGTCCTCTCTTGTGTCTGCACTAAGGTTGGTTCAAGCTTGAACCAGGAAGGGAAGACCAACTTGGATGTTCAGAGAGGGCTGGTACGTCTCCAACAAAATAAGTCCATTCCCTTGGATGATTTTGCTTCTGTAATGTACCATTTCTTGGAACTTACTGTTTTTCCATGAAGACATAGCCACACTGACTTCTATTTCCTCTCCTGAGCAGGAAGTCTCAGCATCTCCGGCCATCTGCAGTGGGCGAGTACATGGAATCTTGTCCTGGACCAAAGGAGTCATCACTCTGGGAAGTGAAGGGTTCTTCACAGAGGTTCATCCTTATGCAAGATGGATCATGGAGATCATCAGTACCCACTGAGATGCCCCCTCAACATCATGTCTGCATGATTTCTACTGGATCCACAACTCTCTTTATCGTACTCATTCTTCATCAAAATACAAGGTGAAAGCATTCAATAAAAAGGCCCCCACACTTGTGACTCCTGCTCTGTTTATCATAAAAAGTTTGAGAATGGTGAGAAATTTAGCAACATTTCCAATATTTTTTCATTCTTGCAAAAATGGTTGAACCTGTGCACATGACAATTACAATAGTGGAAATGGGAAATAATCTCTAATAGAACACAAAACGAAGTATTTTGGTGGTGGAGTTAGAGGGAATCAAATTAGAAAAAGATATCATAAAACCAAGACCACAGTTGATTAAAAGCCATGGAAAAAAAGCTTTATAACATGTCCTGGAAAAAATACATACAAATAAGTAGCATGTGATGGTAGAAAATAAATTGTAGAGAAGGAGGAATAATGTGATAAAGATTCTATTATGTCCTGTCCTTGCTGGACAACGATACTGCAAGCCTTTCTTCATCTGTCTTCTTTCATAGCCTCATACCCTTGTCTACTCAAGTGCTGTCTCTGAGTTGTTGCTGCCCTGTGCTTCCTGCTCCCTTAAAGAATCACAGCTATATTTGTGCCCACGGTTTTTTAAGTGACCAAGTGAATGTTTCTTACAATTCATGCTGTGCCTGCCTGTGTGTGTGTAGTATGGGGGATTGAACCCAGGGACTTCATACTGAGCTAAATCCCCAGCCCTTTTTATATTTTTTTATTTTGAGGATACGTCTTGCTAAATTGCCTAGGATGGGCTCAAACCCACCAATCCTCTACTTCAGCAGAGTATTACAGGTATGTGCCACCATCCAGATTTCTTCAATTCTTGAATTATGTCTTCAGCAATTAATAATAATCCTTTCTGCTGTTGCATAATTCTCCACAGCAGCCACTTCCGAGCTGTCCTCAAACTTTCGATGCATTTTTCAGCAGAAAGTTTTCTGCTTTGCACACAGGAGGAGGTATCAGTTGGCACAGCCTGCATCACCAAACCTGTAAACATACCTAGCCTTTGTTGTTTGTTTCACTCTACTTTCCCGGTGCTTACTCCTACAGTGGAAGAGTGACCTTTGTGCCTTCCGACTTTTTCTCTACTAGGATATGGATCCCATCTCCCCTGACTTCCTCATGGACTTGCTTTATTATCTCTCTTTTTGTCTATCCCCTCCCTTCTTTAGCTTGAATATGGGTATTATATTTTGATACATATATATGATTTGTAATAATCAAATCAGGGTACTTTGCATTTCAGTCTCCTGAAACTTTTATCATTTCCACATGTTGGAAAATTTGGGACTCTGCCTTTGTAATTATTTTGAAATGTGCCATCAATTGTTGTAAACTATAGTTACCTCCACTAGGCTGTGGAACTCCAGAACCAATTTCTCCTATGCAGCTGTATTTTGGTACCTGTTATCCAACTTTCCCAATTTGTTGGCTTTGTCCTGCTTTAACTTAAGAAAATCAAATCTTCCTCTTTTAGAATGGCCTCATACAGATTCAATGCAATTCCAATTGAAATTCTAACAGTATATTTCACAGTAGTACAGAAAACAATCCAAAAATTCATGTGGAATCAGAAGAGACCTAGAATAGCAAAAGCCATTCTAGGCAACAGAGACATGGCAGCGGGTATAACAATTCCCAACTTGAAACTACACTACAAAGTCACTGTGATAAAAACAGCATAGTACTGGCAAAAGAAAAGACCTGAGGATCAGTGGAATAGATTAGAACATACAGAAACAACTCCAGACATACTCAGCTACCTCATCTTTAACAAAGAAGCCAACCATCCTCAGTGGAGGAAAGATAGACTCATAAGTGGTGTTGGAAAAGCAGGATTTCAACCACAAAAGATTAAAACTAGACCCCTATCTTTCACCATGCACTAAGATAAAATCTAAGTGGTTTAGAGATCTAAATTTTAAAAAAGAAACACTAAATTTTCTGAAAGATAAGTTATGCAAAACTCTCAAAGACATTGGCATAGGAAAAGACTTTATTAACAAAATCTCAGTAGCACAGGAACTAGCACAAAGAATCAACAACTGAGATCTCCTTTTATTAAAAAACTTCTTCACTGAAAAAGAAATCACCAACAGAACTAATAGACAACCTACAATGTGGGAAAAAATTTTTACTAGCTGATTCTTAGACAAAGAACTATTGTCTAGAATATATAAAGAACCCCCCAAAAAATCAGGACCCCCAAATATAAAGACCCAATTCAAAAATGAGCACCTGAAATGAACAGACATTTCTCAAACAGAGAATTAAAAGCAGCAAATAAATATATAAAAAAATGTTCCATATCATTGATCATTCGAAAGATGCAGATGAAAACACCACTGAGATTCGACCTCACCTAAGAAAGAATGACTGCTATCAAGAAATCAACCAATAACAAATGTTGGCGGTGTTGTGGGAGAAAGGAACCTTTCTCCACTGTTGGAGTTCAGACTGTTGCAACCATGGTAGAAATCAATATGGAAATACCTTAAATAATTAGGATTAGAAGCCCCATTTGACCAGGTACTCCCCTGCTGGGTATCTTCCCAAAAGAATTAAAAGAAGCATACCACAGTGATACATGCACACCCCTGTTTATAGCAGCACAGTTTTCAAGAGCTAAAACTTGGAAACAGCGCAATTACTCATCAGTTGGAGATTGGATAAAGATGATGTGGTTTTTCTATAAAATGGAGTACTAAGCCACAAAGAATGAGAAACTAGAGTCATTCATAGGAAATTGATGCATATTGAGGCCATACTCTTAAGTGAAATAAATAGGATACATGTGTAAATACCAAATAGTTTCTCTGGCGTGAAAAACTAAAAGTGTAAATATGAGAATCAAGACGTCATGTAGAGGTACAAGATCCAAACAATGAATGTAACTGTACTGTATCCCTAAAATGTACCAATAAACTCAATTAAAGCTGAAAAAAAAAGATCCAAATGGTATAATTAACAATGTGAAATAGGAAGAAAGGGGCTAAAGGTGTAGGGGAAGTGGGAAGGGTAGGGGAAAGGAAATAAGGGACAAGAAAAAATATGAGAAAATGGAAACAAAGTTTGTATACATAGGGAAGGGTGGACAGGGTGAAAGGAGGGAAGGGGTACAGGGAAAAAATGAGAAGCAAGACCTGTCCTGTAAAGGTACAAGATTCCAATGGTGAATGTAACTGTACTGTATACTTAAAAATTACCAATAAACTCAATGAGAAAAAAAAAAGAATACGGCCTCAATGTGCATCCAGTTAGCTATAAATATCTCTAGTTTGTCATTCTTTATGGTTGGTTGAGTATTACTTCATTTTATACATTAACACACACACACACACACACACACACACACACACATCTTTATCCAGTCTCCAGTTGATGGGCAATTAGGCTGTTTCCAAGTTTTAGCTATTATAAACTGTGCCACTATAAACATGGGTATTCATAAATCACTGTGGTATGATTCTTTTAATTTTTGAGGGAAGATACCCAGCAGAGGAATAACTGAGTCAAATGAGACCTCTAATCCTAGTTAAGATATCTCCATGTTGATTTCCACAGTGGTTTCATCAGTCTGCACTCCCACCAACAATGGAGAATGGTTCCTTTCTCTGCACAACCTCACCAGCATTTTTTATTGCTTGATATTTTGGTAGCAGCCATTCATTCAGGGGTGAATGGAATCTCAGTGTTGTTTTCACCTTCATCTCTCAAATGCTCAGTGATGCTGAATATTTTTTCCTATCTTTATTTGCTGCTTTTAATTCTTTGTCTGAGAAACATCTGTTCAAGTCAGATGCCCATTTTTAAATTGGGTATTTATATTTGGAGGTTGATTTTTTTAAATTCTTGATATATTCTCTATCATAATCCTTTGTCTGATGAACAGCTGGTAAAAATTTTTCCCACATTGTAGGTTGCCTCTTAGCTTTGTTGGTGGTTTCTCTTGAAGTGTAGAAAGTTTAAAAAAAAGAGAGAGATCTCAGTTGTTGATTTTTTGTGCTAGTTCCGGTGCTACTGAGGTTTTGTTCATAAAGCCTTTTCCTATGCTAATGTCTTCAAGAGTTCTAGCTATCTTCCAGAAAATTTAGTGTTTCTTGTTTAATATTTAGATAATACTTACCACTTCAATTTGAGTTTAGTGCATGGTGAAAGATAGGGGTCTAGTTTTAATTTTTCGTGGTTGAAATCCAGTTTTACCAACACCATCCTCCAGTGAAGATGGTTGACTCCTTTGTTAAAGATGAGGTAGCTGAGTATGTCTGGAGTTGTTTCTGTATCTTCTAATCTGTTCCACTGATTCTCAAGTCTTTTTCTTTGCCAGTACCATGCTATTTTGATCACATTGGCTTTGTAGTAAAGTTTCATGTCATGGATTGTGATACCCCCTGTCATGTCTCTGTTGCCTAGAATGGCTTTTGCTATTCTAGGTCTCTTCTGGTTCAAGTGAATTTATGAATTGTTTTCTCTATTACTGTGAAATATACTGTTGGGATTTCAGTTGGGATTGCATTGAATCTATATAGCTGTTTTAGAAGTATGGCCATTTTCACTATATTGGTTCTTCCTATCTATCTAGGAGAAAGGGGTGTCTTTCCATTTTCTGATATCCTCTTTGACCTCATTTTTCAGAGTGCTGTAGTTTTCAATGTGGAGGTCTTTTGCTTCCTTCATTAGACTGATTCCTAAATATTTCTCTCTTTTTTTGATGCTATTGTGAAAGGAATTGTTTCCATAATTTCTTTGTCAGGGAAGCTGTTATTTATATACACGAAGGCTATTGATTTTTGAGTGTTGACCTTGTATCCAGCTACTCTACTGAATCTGTCAATTCAGTCTAGATGTCGTTTGGCAGAGTTTTTTGGTTCTTCTATGTAGATATCATATCATCGGCAAATAATTACAATTTAACTTCTTCCTTTCCTATTTTTATTCCTTTTATTTCATTCTCTTGTCTAATTGCTCCCAGCACCATTTAAGAGTCTGTTTTCCAATGTGGGCTTTTGGCTACTTTTTCAAAGATTAAGTAGCTGTGTGTGCCAGTGGTTGTTCATGCTTCCTCTAGTCTGTTCCATTGATCCATACGCCTTTTTCTGTGCCAGTACCATGCTGTTTTAATCACTATCGCTTTATAGCATGACTTTAAGTCTGAGACTGTGATGCCACTGGATTTGCTTTTGTTATCCAGGACTGCTTTTACTATAAGCATTCATGTGTAGTTCTCTTTCTGAGCATAAATTTTCAGCTAATTTGGATAAATATCAAAGAGTGTGGTTGGTGGATCACACAGTAAGGCTACATTTAGCTTAGAAAATTCAAAATTGCATTTCAAAGTGTTGTACCATTTTGCATTCCCACCACCAATAAATTCCCATGGTATCAGTTTCTGAAGAACTATACACTTGTTTGTTATTTTCAGTGTGTTTAAATCTTAGCCATACTATTAGGTGCATTGCAGTATCTTGTTGTTATTTTAAAATTTTTATTTCCTTAATGCCCTATTATTAGAGAATGTTTTCTCATTTTCCATTTCCATATCTTCTCCAGTGTTGTGGACCAAACTATGTCCCCACCAATATTAAAATTTTAATGCTGAAGCCCCCAATTCTGCTATGATTATATCCAAGGATAAATCTTATTAATAATCAGGGTTAAATGGGGTTAAAAGAATATGGCTCTAATCTGATTGGACTAGTGACATTAAAAGAAGAAAACCCAAAGGTCTTTCTCTCCCTTGTTCCTTACACATGACAGAGGAAAGGCACTGGGAACCAAATGTGAGAAGGTGACTATCTGCAAGCCAGGAAGACAGTTATCACCAGAAATCAAATTACCAGCACCTATCACATGGACTTTCAGCCTTCAGAACTATGACAAAATAAATAAATATTTTTGTTAAGGTGCCCAGACTGTACTTGTCAACTCAAGACTAAAACATCAAGTAAGATGTCTGCTCAGATGTTGACTTGTTTTTAAATTGACTGCTTTCTTGAGTTTTCCTATTTCCTAATATAGTTTGGATGTAAATTAGTACTTAGAAGACATACATTTTGCAAACATTTTTTACCAGATCTGTGACTTTCCTCATTGTTTAGCTCTGAATACTTGAGGTTGTAACCATTCACTTAAGTAACTGAAATTCCATTCATCTATGACCCTTTGGAAGGCAGAAGTGCAGCCTCTAAACTGAGGCTTCTATAACAGCAATCACAGATCTTACCACAAGTGAGGCACAGAACATAAATCACTGGCTCATTGCTTGAATAAATATGTAAATAAATGAATAATGACAGAAAGCAAAGGACTGAAATGTTTCAAAGAGGAGTTTAATGTCAGGCAGAGAGAGTGAGATCAGCCACGGAGGATTGGACCTATCTCCATGGAGACCAATAACAGTGTCACATAAATGGAGGCTAGCGTCACAGAGACAGGAGGGGACTGGGGTTCTCATAAAGCTCAGAAGGCATCTGCCCACAGAGTCCATAGAAGTGAGGGCGAGGGGTACACTGTAAACTTCACCTTTGCTCTGGGCAAGTACTTTTCTTCCATGAAAGGGGAGGCAAAAATCCTGATTCCAGGGCAGTTTCCTACTGTGTCCAGGGGCCAAGTCCATAATCTCAGTTTCTCTCTGCTTGCACAGCTGACACCACCCCTACTCTGAGGGATGGATGCTGTTTTCATGAACTGAATCCTTCCACCAAGAGAATTGAGACAACCGTTTTTCTCCCATCCCTAGAGCTTTTAACCACCACCCCTTCATGCCTCCAGAATCCATGAGCTTACCCTGTGATACCTTGCCCTGTGAAAAGCCTTTCAGTGTCATCATGAAGTTCAGTCTCCTCTGGGCTTTCCTGAGCCTGCCTGGTGAGTATCCTCACATTTCTCTGTTTAATTTTCCAAGGAGAAATCCCAGGGAAAGCATGAAAAGATGGATCAAGACAGATCGCACCTTTACAGATTTCAAGCATAGGACAGATTCTCTGACCCTCACCCCTGCTACTGTCCCCAACCAGTTTCCCCCAGGACAGTGCCTGCCCACCTCACCTCAAGATACTTGATTGTGTTCTTTTGGAGGAGACACAAACATTGACACCTCCATACAAGCCCACTCCTAGGGAAGAGGTGGCCTGGACATGTCTGGAGCAGCACTGGTGTTGGGGTGAGAGAGTATGAGCTGATGATGGGGTTTGAAAGCAGTTATCCAACTAATGACCACAGCAAAATGTTGAAAACTTGAACATCTCCTGGCATGATTCTCTTTTCCCGCATTAGGAAAATCTTGTTGGTTCTGTCTTCCAAACATATCCAAAAGCAATCACATCTCAGCACCCCCACAGCCCACAATAGTCCAAGCCATCATCTCATGCCTGGATTATTAAATTATTCTCCTACCAGGTCCCTCTGCTTCTATACCTTATATTTTACAGGTCTCTGAAAGGAAACTATCATCATTCTTTTATGTGAAACCCTAAAATGGTAGTAATTTTACTCCTCAGGGAACAAGTCCAAGTTCTTCCGATATCCTGCAGAGCCCTCTATCGCTTCCTGAACCACTTTCTGCCAACTCCTCTCCACCCACTGGGTGTCAGCCATGCTGGCCAAAGTCTGTTCCTTAAATAGGACTTGGGATTCTTGGCTGTAGCTGTTTCCCCTGCATGGAGTCCCTTGCCCTACATATCCGATCATTTAATCTTTCTGTCTTCGTGTCACTGTTCAACACTGTTCCTGAGGTTGACCCTGACCTAATACTACATAATACTTTTTTTTTCTTTTTATTGAGTTTATTGGTACATTCTAGGTATACAGTACAGTTACATTCATTACTGGGATCTTATACCTTTACATGACAGATCTTGGTATATTTCCATCTTCATTTTCTCATATTTTTTCTTTTCCCTTATTCCCTTTCCCCTACCCTTCCCACTTTCCCTACAACTTTAGCCCTTTAATACTACATAATCCTAAACTTCACAGACACATACAACTGGTACTCCCCTCCCTGCATCTATCTGTCTGTCTTTCTTTCTTTCTTTCTTTCTTTTTCTTTCCTTCTTTCTTATCTTTGTTTCCCATACACTAACCACCATCTCACATACTATTTTCATTTACTTATGCATTATGTTTATTGTTACTGTCTTCACTACTTTGAATGTATGAGAGCAAGGATACCAGTGTTTTGTTCACTATATAATATAAGCCCCTGGAACATATTAAATGCTCAATATTTGTTGAATAAATTATTTATTCCCAGCACCCTCCTCAGGCTCTGTTGACATTTGGCCTGTTCTTATTTTAGCACTTACATCATTTTGTTTTGCACTGTTGTTGAAGAAAAGGAACATGACTTGAGAAACCATTCTAATATGGGTAAAAATGCAGGAAGAATGAGCTAATTTAATGTTGTCCTCTGAATCACGAAAACTACATCCGAAAGCATATATTTCAATTTGAAGAATAATTATTGATAATTATGAGCTTTACTTTTACTTTTACTTTTTTGAAACAGGTATTTCTATTTTTATCATTTTCTTCAAGTCTTAGAATGACAAGTCATTTTTCAGATGTTTATAGAAAAATGTTTTAGTGAGAAAAGGATTCAAATTCTGTTAAATGATTTCTTTTGTTCTTTTCTCTCTTTTTAGTAATTACCAAAAAATCTCAGCGTTTCTTATCTATGCCTCTTTTTCCAGCTTCACTTGCCTTTAACCCAGACTTCGTAGGTGATGTCACGCCTCCCTACCTGGTCTACTTGAAATCTGATTACCTGCCCTGCACAGGAGTCCTGATTCACCCGCTTTGGGTGCTCACTGCTGCACACTGCAATTTACTGTGAGTGAGAAGCCCCCACAGCCACTCTACTCTCTGGCTTCTCAAATTGGACCTGCACTCAGATCTCTGCCTAGGACTCTCCCAGTTAAATGACAGTAGGCAGACCTTTGGGGATGTTTAGTGGGAGAGAAAAAAGTTTGTGGGCAGAGCTAATAGAGATCCCTAAGGATGGAGACACTACCTGTCTTAATTCTTCTCATAAACATCTACATTGCTCCAGGAAGCTCCAGATGATGCTGGGAGTTACAAACCCATCAAACACCAGTGAAGAGAATGTGCAAGTGGTTGGCTATGAAAAGATGATTCATCATTCGCAATATTTAATCTCTTCTATGGAATATGATCTCATGCTAATCAAGCTGAATAAAGTGATTGAACTCAATGACTATGTGAAAGTGGTCAACCTGCCAAGGCAAGCTGCCCCAGTAAATAAGATGTGAGCTGTCTCTACCTGGGCCTACAACACATGTGATATGAGTGAGTTCAAGGCATACATAGTGTCTGTTGACTTCAGTAACATTCTTCCCATAATAGATCCTCCTCTGTGCCTTCCCTTCTCCTAGTTTCTGCAATTCTGCCCAATGAGGCTTCTTAAAGCCCAGTAATCATTCTTTTCACCTCTTTTTTCTTTCCCTGCAGCATCCTCAGAGAGTCCTTCCAGACTATTCCCCACTTTATCTATTATCCTTGCTTCCATATATGCTGAAAGCAGCTTTAGTAGGAAGAAGGCACTTACACGTCTAGCTCTATTTTGTTGTGTGATAGAATTTTATTTACCTTAGAGATTCAATTTCCTTAACTCTAAAATAAAGAGTAACATTGAATTAGCTTTCAGACCATTTTAGGCGATAAAGCAGCTTTAAGTCTTGAATATCATGAAATAAATACTAATATGTTGAACATAAGACATAGGCAGGCATGGCGGCACACACTTGTAATCCCAATGCTTAAGGAGGCTAAGGCCTGAGGATCACAGGTTCAAGATCCTATCTACGAAAAACTCAAACAAACAAAAAGGCTGGGACGTAGCTAAGGGGAAGAGCAGCCCTAGACTTCATTCATTGGAAAAATAAAAAAGAAACTCATAGCATTGTGCCAACCAGAACTTTCTTATGTAAGATTGTAACCAATACCTAATTTAAAGCTTAAGAAAAATATTTCAGGAAGAAACATTTTCAACTGAAAACTTTCTAAGCATTACTCATTTCTGTCAGAAAATGGACAGAAAGGCTATCATATTTTATCAGTGGAAGTCTCCCATGCATGACTGTAAGCTACAGAACTAGGTATTCTATCTAAACTTTCTTCTATAACTCCCAGTTTAGATTTCAGGAAAAAAAAATTGGAGCAAGTTAGAACAGCTTTCTGCTTTCTAAGTTTTATTCCTGTCTGCTTGCTATTCTATCCCAAATTTTCATGTAAATCCTAATAAGCTGTCTGTAGCTATTAAGATAGCAATGAGTCTTAGAGAAAGATTTGATTACCTATAAGAAAATACCACAATGTCAGTCACTTATGAATATTAACGTGACTATATTCATTAGCATGTTTATTTGAGTATATTCAATATGCCTTATACACTAGGCACCATCCTATGGTCATTTTAAACAAACCTATCAAATTTTATTTTTCCAGACATCTCTTTTTTTTCGTAGAAGCCAAGAGGCAGCTATACATTTATCATTATTGTTAGCAATGTTGCCATTATTTAAACCTTTTTTAAAAATTGCTCTTTAACAAATGTTACCTGCATTTACTGATCTTAATGCACATTTTTTTAAATATATCAAGAAGCAGGGGAAGGGAGTGGGGGGAGGGGAGTGAAGCTGATTGACGGGCACAGGTCATGGTTCGATTGGAGGAACAAGTTTTAGTGTATTATTGCCAATATGGTGGCTATAGTTAATGCATATTTCAAAAGAGCTGGGAGAGAGGATTTTAAATATTCTCATCACCAAAAAACAATAATTGTTTAAAATGATAAATATGCTGATCACTCTAATTGGATCATTATACAATATATACATAAAAAACATCACATTCCATCCTCTTAAAAATATCCAGTTATTATACATCAAAATGAAAAAATTTTAAAAATGATAAAAAAGTAGAAACTCCTTTATTCTTTGAGAATCAATTTGATTTTTGGAAATAGACAAATATCACTCTGGTGAGTGTGTTTGATTCACATAGGTCAAAAAGAGATGTTACTACAAAAAAGCTTGCAATTTATTTTTATATAGTTTAAAGAGTAATTAAGTAAGCATGTACTAAAAAGCATTCCCAAAGGAAATGATGAAACATGAAATTATTGCTGTATTACAGAATAAAGGATTTCAATATTTCTATTCAAGAATCATTGTTATTTTCAAACAAAGATATTGAAGTAAACACACACTCATTAAGAAAAACAAAATTTTCAAAATAATTTTCCCAAAATACTATGTTTGCAAAGAAGAGCTGCTGTGTGTATAAATACTTTGCTCTTGTTCTTCTCATTTTGATTTAAATCAGAAAATAATTTTATGCAGATATACATAGTTGACAGAAATTGTGGGCTGCAAACAAAACAACTTGAATTAGGAACCAAGGCTCTCAGTTTTAAATCCTAGTTTTACTACTTACAATTGTTTAAGCTAAAGATTATATGTGATTATTTTGAACAGATGCATTTTTGTTTTGTTGTGGTTTAGTTTGTTTTTTCATGTAACAAATGAGAAACTAGGCTAGAAACTTGATGCTGAAAGGATATTCTTACTGTACACATTTAAATTTCAAAAAAATAGGAATTTGTTGCATTTGTTTGCAGGAATGTCTCATATTTATAAATAACTTTCAAGAATGTAATCAATTTTATAACAAGAAATTGTTAATCTGATAATCTCCTGTGTGCAGGTTGTCCTAACTGCTACAGTTGTTTCTCACATTGTTTTCCTTTCTGATTAGATAGAGGGAAGCACAAATGTGTTACACAAAAGGAGAAAGAAAAAAACAGGTGTGGCATGCAAGTAAACTTTTAAGGAAGTTCTATTTTTTTCTCTTTTCCTTTAGCCAAGGACCCTGACATGATGCAGACTGTTCAAGTCTCTGTAATCTCCCAGACTGAGTGTCAGAATGGCTATCCAGGCTACAATATCAAAAATAATATGATTTGTGTGGGCATCGTACCAGGAAGGAGGCTACCTTGCAAGGTGACATACTCCCTATGCCTTAATTTTCCCATTTTCTTTCTTGTGTCTTCCCAGAAAGACAACTCTGTTTTCTTTTTCCTGGCAGGAAGTCTCCTCTGCCCCCGCAGTCTGCAATGGGGTACTTTACGGAATCCTGTCTTATGCAGATGGGTGCATTCTGAGAGCTGACGTTGGCATCTATGCTAGTATCTTCCACTACTTGCCCTGGATTGAAAATACAATCCAGAACAACTGAGTTCATGTGGCTGGAGTTCTGGGCCATGTCACAGCCTGTACCCATGTCCAGCCTCCGAATTAAACTAAGGCACCCCTCGGATTACGCCTTGTGCATCTGCTCATTCTGGTGGACAGAGTCTGTGAGCGATGGATGTCTCAGACAAGACAGCCCTTCCTCCGCTGTAAATGAAGGCAGAAAAATCAAAACTCCTAAACAATTGAAGCTTATGAAGTAGGTATTGTGTTCTCTATAGCAGATGGATAATTGATTCATTGAAAATGGGAAAACTCCACAGTAATTTGGGGTACTAACCCTCACACTGCTTGCAGTGAATTAGAGGACATGTGCTTCTGAGGTGTTAGACACATCCATTAGGAATAAGAGGTCTGACAAGGAGTGGACTAGGTAGAAGGTTAGAGAGGAAAGTGTTTCACAATGGGGACTGTGGAAGATATTGCATTTAGTGTCTCCCTGTCCACACAGCTCTCAACTCCATAGATTCTAACCATGCATTTTGTAGAATTCTGGGTGTCTACTTGATACATGAAAGGTTAATATAAAAGTTAACTGGGGACTTATGTCACAGTGGATAAGGAGGAAGTTCAGGACCATTTTTCCTAATACGTTTCCTTTTTGTATTATATCAGCTGCCCCAGGAGCTTCCTTCCTCCTCCTTTCTTTCATTCCCTTTTCACCTCACCCCTGCAACTTCAATTACCACCAAAGACTTTTTACTGAGAGTTTTACCGAGAGAGTTCATTTGGTTAGTTGACTGAAGATTCAAAAAGAAGAAAAACTAGATTTAGACAGTTCAGTCTGTAGCTCAGCTGGAGGAAAAGAAAATTTCTCTCAGAAACCCCAAGTTCCAGCAGTAAATCTTGTCTTCTCAAGAATTATAAAATCTCCATACCAGCTAAGCCTAGACTGGAGTACACAGACTTTACATATGATATATTAAGCACAATTATGAAAGCATCATCTTCACAAGTTGTGTTAACTGAATTTTAGTTATTATGGGAGAAATGAGTGGTGTTGAACTCATTTTGCAAAATAGTACTTTCAGCCTCTGAAGACGTTTCTCAGCTTTGGCTTATGCAAAGATTTCAACAAGTCATACCAATGTTGTGTAAGGCCAGCTGATTCTGAGTGGTAAAGCACATGGGGAGGTCCCTGAATCCCACAGCATGGGCCCATGGGTCTCACCATAAGCAGGGGAAGGCGATTTCCTTGGTTGGAGAATACATTCCTATTTTGTGGAATGCATAAGCATTCAGGTAATCTGAGTTTGGTGGTACTAGGATAGTGACATGGACAAGGAAAAGAAAATCCAAATCCAGAATGCATCATTTTCAGGGAAGACAAGAAGCCATTCTTCCATGATTAAAGGGACCTATCACCACCACCTGGCAAGTGGAATACTAAAGGTCCAGTGGTCTCAGGTTGGTTGTTGGCAGCAGGTCTGTAAGGGTGGTGGTAACCAGGTTGGGCTTGCAAGAAGTCCTGCTGTTTAGCTACCCACCGTGTTCCATTTGGCTCCACTTTTTACCTTGTTTCTGAATCCTCTACAAAAGCATATAGAAGCACAAGAAAGGAATTCAGGCAGCCCAGCCTGTTCACTTGATTGTCAAAATCTCCTGAAGAAAAATATTTTAGTGATAATTCTCATAGGATATAATTATTTTCCTGCCTTAAAAAGCTTACTATATTACATTACTATTCCCAAAGGAGTTCATCCCCACTCCTCCCATCTTGCTCCTCCTTTGTGCCAATCAGAACAGAGCACTAGCCTCTCTCAAGAAATTTATATAAATCTCAACTTCAGTTGATTGGACCTCTGTCTCTTGAGAAGAATTGTACTCTCTTTCCATCAGGGCATCCTGCAAAGGAGTTTTCCTTTATAGTAGTACATGTGTTACTGATACTGATACATCAAACATGGCCACATTTAAGACAGATATTCAACATTATTAATAATCAAGGAAATGTAAGTCAAAAACATTATGAGATGTCATTTTACACCTACTAAAATTACTATTGTCTTAGTTACTTTCTCAATGATGGGGCAAAATATCCAACACTCTCACAAGTTAAAAGAGGAAAGGTTTATTTTAGCTCACAGTTTGTAGAGCTTTAAATGCATAGCTAGCTCCAGGGAAGAGTGGCAGGACAGAGCATCACAGAGAAGAAACAGTCCATGGCAGAGCAAACAGTCTCCCTTCCCTATTTACCCTATTCAGGCTACAACCATTATTCACACCCACAATTATGCTAAACCAGTGAACTAATTTAGTCATCACACCCTTAATCCACAGTCACACACCCTAGATCCAGCCACACCTAAAAGCTCCACCTATGAGCACTTGAGGGCCTGAACATCCAAATATAAGCCGTAAGAGCTAATAAATATTTCGATGCTTTTATCAAAACCTCAACTGGTCTCTCTGTGTGCCCTAATTTTCAGTCTGCTCTTGAGGACAGGTTATGAGATGAGTGGGTTTGAAATCATGGCAGGTAGAAGGGTAAAGAAAACATGTAGACACTGAAAATGTTTTTGTAATCCATTTTAATTTGCATTTCCTGCTGTGTAAATGTGTGTCCATGTGTGTAAACATGTGTGAGAGAAAGGGAGGGGGTCAGGGGTAGGCGCTGCAGGGGAAGGGAGATTGAAAGCCAGACAAAGTTTAGGAAAGCAAAGAAAATGACATCAGGCCAAAGAGTAGCTGAAGAGACCGCAATGTGCATCCAACACCACATCTCTTGGGTGAACTTGCTCTGTTAAATGTGGAATGAGGCCTTTTTTCAAAGTCTGAGTTTCTGGTCCCTCTGCTTTGTGGCCTAGATTCACCTCGCTCTGGGGAAGGAATCCTTGTGCTTGGACAGGACAAAAAACACTCTAGAAAGACTGAGGATCACGTGGAAGGCTGTCTTTCTCCATAGCTCACAGGCTTTGAGGAAACATCCAGGACATTGAACCATGGACAAGGGCAGTGACGCCCAAGTTAGCCTGCCCAAACCCAGGCTGAGCCCAACCAGTGTCACAGCCAGATGATTCTCGGTTCTGGAGATCATCTTTTAGGAAGGGAAAGATGAGACAAGGATGACAGGTCAGAGGCCTAGGAAAAGGAGGGAATAGTAGAACAAGAGCCTCCTTGAGTAGCTATGCCCCCTAACAGGATACGCTGTGAGAACGGTGGAATAATGGTGCCCCCTGCTGGAAGGAATCCTCACTTACCAGAAGGGCTGAGAAGTCCTCTCCAGGATCCCTACCTCCAGAATTGCCTACATCTCTCACCTCTACCTGAGAGGTAGAGGAGATGCCTGGCAGGGACCATTGCAGCCACTCACTCTCCTCGCAACCCAGTTGTCGGCCCACTTGGTCTCCACCTGTGGATAGGGAGGCTCTGAGGTAGAAGCAGTGGGTCGGCTGTGGTATGGTCAGCTCACGTTTCCTTCTCTCCCTCCGTCTCTCCTCCTCTCCCTCCTCTCCTTTTTACTGTCCTCCCCCCCTCCTCCCCTCTCTCTTTCCTTTCCTCCTTCCCCCTTCTTCTTGCTATCATTCAGAATGTCCCAGTTGGTTCCCAGCTATTTGCCTGGGGTCAAAGCCTCCTTTTCCCGCTCCTTAATGGTGGTACTCAGGCTGCACATCCAGTTCTGGCTCCTGGGCTTTTTAGTTGAGTATTTGCTGAGCCCTCCACCACAGATTCCAGACCCTGATTCTTTCTGAGGGTCTTACCTTGTAAAGACTGCCTTGAAATTGGAATGTTAGAAGTGGACGTGGATGTGGCGATGAGAATGGTGATCAGAAAAAGTAGGAGGTGTTTACTTCAGGGGCGTATGGGCATGGGGTACACGTTTTGCAACTCAACCTTCCCTTTTCCTGAGCTTCCAGCGTTTCTCCAGGTTTCTTCTCAGCCTACCTGTGGAGATTGAGATTGGAACTAAATTGCATGATTTTTATATGTGCAAACTGTGGAGAGAAGAGCTAAGGGCAAGTGACGGTTTTCTGTGTCCCTCTGCATCATAACAAAAGCTCCACCAATTGCATCGCTCAATCCTTTCAGCAGACTTCTGAGAAAGGTGGAGTTTCTGTCTGCTTGTTGCAGGTAGCTTGGCAGGTTTGGGAGGAGAGACTTCCCCAAAGCTCACACATAGCAGAGCCAAAGTGTGTACTTCTGCCCTCCAGAACCTGGGTTAAACTGCTGTGCTGTTCAGGCAGAAAAAATGCAAATGGGATATTGACAGAGAGAGGGGCTACTTGAGGTTTAGGTAAGAAGTGAGGGTCTGTCTGGGGAGGAAGCACGCTTGGGAGGGCTGTTGGGGCTAAGGAGGAGGGCATAGAAACCAGAAGAGTCTGTGCCTGTGGTTTTTATTAAAATGCCCTAGCAGGGTTTCTCACTGTGTCTTTACTGCAGGTGCAAAAGAGGGTTCTGCCCTGGGTCACATTGGCCACTTGAATCCTTAGGTCTGTGTCACTGACCCGAGTGGCCAGGTAATCCACCCCAGGAAGGGAGATGGTCTTCTTTTCTCCAGGACTTCGCAGGGTGACCAGAAACTGAAGTTGCCGCTGGAGATCTTGTTGGTACCAGCTCATCCAGGGGTACTGAGAATCCCTCAGGATGCAGTGGAGAGTCTCTGTCCGACCAGCCTGTACCAGGGCCCACCTGGGCCTCTGCTCCACCAGGCTGGCTGTGGCATCTGAAACACACGGGCCAGCCGAGGTGATGGTAGACAGCACGGTTTTCTCCCCACCACCACCACCATCACACACACACACACACACCCCGGAGTAACTAACTAAGCTAAATCGGGAAGAGAGGATCCAGGAGGTACCGGGATAGAAGGCTGCTGAGAGCAGAAGGGCCACTTGATCTTGGTGAGCTGCTGCTCCTGGGATGATTGTGGCAAGGTTGGGATAGATGGGCACCTTCGCTGGCTATGATTCTCCAATGACCCATCCCTCTGTTCCTCCCTCACCACACTGAGTGACTTCCTCTCTTTGCCACTGACCTCCGCTCAGGGTGACCAGAGCCATCCAGCCATACAAACTGGGAAAGGACCCCATTCCCTGGCCCCTCAGGTTCTCTCACAGAGCGTGGGATAGGCCAGCCAGGCTGGAGAGCAGGATCCCAGCCCGTAAGGTGTCAATCAGAGGCTGACAGCTCTATGGGCCCCAAGCTCAAAAGGGCGTGGATTCCTCAGGAAACGGAGTATCTTGTCTCTCGTCTTCTCCGTGAAGCACAAACCTCAAACCACAGGTTTTCAAGCTTTCCTGCTGTCTGAGCTCCAGGAAGCATGCTCGTTCTCAGCCCCCCATTCTGCACATTTACTAAGTGTCTCAGTGAACAGACCCTGCACCCCCTCACCCGCTACCCAGATATTCCCGGAACTGGTCTGAATCTTAGCCTCAGATCTTTGCAATGGATTAAAATACTACCAAGTGATGCTTACAACACTGAACAAATATACTGATAGTGGAAGATATTGTGGGGCCACACTGGATAGTACACATTGGACATTCACTTCCTGTTATCAGTGTCTGGCTCTGTGAGGGCAAATACACATTGAAAACAGGCTTCCTTCTTCCTGTACACAATAAGGGAAGAGACTCCTCCCTCCCTCATCCTCCACTTTCTACTTACTTTAGCAAACTGGGAATAATAGGTTCTTTCTGTATTTTTGAAATATATGTGAATCTTTTAAAGAGCTAAATAATCAGTCACTTGCTAGCTTTAAAATCCAGCGATGCATTTTTCTCCAGTACCTGGAATCTTTTCATGGAAATGTAATCCTCAGGGAAGATAGCACCCCTGTCTCCTTTTCTAAGGGAAGCAGGAACCTTACTTAGGAGTATACCTTCACTTAAGGAAGAGCCCAATTTAGAGACCCCATTTAATACCTAGCGCCAAGTTGCTATATTACCCTTTGTTACAAAGATATGTTTTCATTTTCTTTGGGTAAAGCCCACTAGCAAACCCATGTCACCTGATTGCCACGTGCATTTAGGATGAACTATGTGTCATAAGTGGTGCTGTTAATTTCTCTTGCTGGAGACTCAATTACTTCATCTTGAGAACATTCATGTGATGAGTGATGTTGGCTTGGCTTCATGATAGGGTGAGAACCCTGTCTTTTCAGTCTCTTATGGATTAAAATTGATGTATATTACATTCTACTTTATTCAGTATTAAAGCTATTTTATTTTTCTTTTACTTATGTGGAGATTTTTTAAATTATTTTAAATAATATTTAACTATGAAACATATTTACTAATTTATTAAATATGTTGATTACATTTTGTTGACTTACGGTAAATCATTTTCAACTGTATCATCTTTAATTGTATTTTCCAACAGCTCCTAGTACTGTCAACCTCAGAGGGTGGCACTTTCTCTTAGCTTCTTCTTCTGTGAAATGAAGGCAATATTGAAAACTATTTCATAAGGATGAGTGACTCAAATCATGAGCAAGTTCATAGAACAGAGCCTGGAACAAGCTAAGCACTCAATAAAAATCTGCTTTTATTATTGCAACAGCAAATTTCCAAATCAATTTAACATGACAAAGTTAGCAGTAATATTTGTCTTCAATTGCCTATCACATAGCATTTAACTGAGATGAAAAGGATAGGATCCCATGGCTTGCTTTTCAGCATTGGTAAAAGGCTTTTTTTTTTTTTTTTTTTTTTTTTA